AAGGTCGTTGGTATGTTTAGGCAAATAAACAAAAGCTGTTTTAATTTAAGAAATCTTCATGATTCCTGTTTGTCAATTTTAAATAAATAGTACACTTTTAAAAAGTCCCATCTCACTTTAAATAACAAGGAGACAAGTTTTCAGTCTCTCTACTTCTTGAGAAAAAGAAAATGTATCATCAAATAGAGGACTTCAGCACATTCCTTTCTCTCATGTAAAGCAGTTTTTAAATAAATAAAGATGTTTCACCTTAAACTCCAAATGTCTTTTGTGTTCAGGCTTTGAGTTTTGTTTTTCAGAGGACTCGGATTCAGACAACTCCTCGAGGTTGTCAGAGCATTTTGACAATTTGATAAAAATAACAAAAGAACTTATTCAGCAGACTTGCAACTTGACCATGGAGGGGGAGACTCCTCCAAGAGCCCTGGTCATACCACGGAAATATTCACAAGGAATAACAGCAAAGTAATTACTGAATACTGATGAGTAATTACCGGAATCCTTCACGGGTTAGTTCATTTGCAGGATGCTTGCAAATGAACGGTGCTGAACTGAGAGACTGAGAGAAATGGAAAAACAAACAGAAAAACCTGGGAAGAGTAAGTATAGGCTGCAGCATGAGTCAGAATAGAAATACATTCAATTATTGAAGAAAAACACAGTAAACAGAACTAAATATGGATTAGGCAAAGTCACAAATGACTTTCGAGGATTTCTCTTTTTTCTGTTGTTGTTGGTTTCTTGGTTTCTACATGAATATCTGCATGCATTCCATACATGCAGCTTCGGTCTGTAATGTAGCCCAATCAAAACCACCCCGTGATTCCGCTGATGATGGTTGCACATGGAGGAGTTTGCTAAAGTAACAAGCTAAGGCAAGCTCGTCTTGTCTCCCTATTCGCTTCTTTGGCTGATCGGATCGAGCGAAATGAATGCTGGGGAAATTGATGTAAATGTTTCCTCGACTCGTAAAATGAGTTTGGATAATTGCTCAGATGTAACGTTTAGCATTACGTGTCCACACATTCTGCATTGTCTTTCCCATTCTGAAGAGTGACAGACGTACCCAAGAGAAGCAGGAAACCATGGATTGGAGCGTCTTGGATACTTTGATCGCCTTAAACAAACATACACGCATGTGAAGCAAACATTTCTGTAGTTGTATTTGTTTAATCAGAGTTGTTAGAGTGTGTAATGAGGGATATTTTCCCTCCAAATAGACGTATTCAAATTAAAATGTGACTTTTCGATGTCTCTGCAATAAAAGCTGAACTTACACTAAAGCCTTTTACACATCTTTACCAAGGATCTCAACAAGAGTGGAGTTTGCATTAAAGAGCACACAACTTAAAAGGGATCCACTACAGTAGTAAAGGCTAAAATTAAATAATCTCTTTGTGAACTCGATCCCCAACAGCTCCAGTCTCCCATGTTTTTCCACATATAAATCACTAAATTAAGAAAGAAAATAAATTATTTATTTGTTCATTTTGTTTATCTAAACACATGACATAGACAAATGTTCCCTAATTTTAATTGAGTGCTTTTTTTTTTATGAATCACCTTGTAAATACGTGAGATGTGCATTTTATATTATATAAATAGATGCTGCAGCTCCATACGCACTTATTTCAAACACATCTAACCTACGTCTCATTTGTTAAGCTACAATAATGGAAATGAACCCACAGGTTCATAATTCTATCTCACAGGGAATAGAAGCAATCTTTCGTCAGGAGAATAAGTATGTGTGGCATTTTGGCTGAGCATGCCAGGTATTTGTCAGTTTTGACTAATTAGACTAAGGTGAACAGTGGCAGCCAGGGCTCAGAATATCTTCTGTCAGATGTGCAAATGAGAGCTGAATACAAAAGATTTTAGTACATTTTTGTACATGTAGAATGAGTACAGCCAGCCGGTTTGGATATTTTCACTGCTTCCTGTGCAAAGATGTCCTGAACCTAACTGCAACATAAATAATTACTGTTTTATCTTTAGCAAATATAGGCCCCACTCTAAAACACACTCCATTTTCAACTTTAATGCAAGTTCTCTCTTTGAGCGCATCGCACGCTGGAATTCAGATCTGCATAAATATTAATTGCATTTTGGCTCGAGCCTCGTTTCTTTGCTTACCACATGCACCAATTACTGTGGAAACGTAACTGTACACATGTACCACTCTTACAGAGCTGATGCAACACTAGCTGAGTTAAAACTGCAGGGATCCATCATTCTCATCTTGCGGATAGCTCTCTCCCCAAGGAATTCAGGATTTTTGAAACTGAAAGTTAAGCTCAGTGTGTCACTGGCAATCTGGTTAATTTGGGGCAATAATTACCTGGCCACTAGGGGGCAAACATTGCCGTACTACTGCTACTAAATATACCTCTTAGAACTCTTAGTGGTGTCATAAGGAGAGTGAGTATGTAATGACAGCAACACTACAAATTGGTAGACCACATATAATAAAAGTGGTGTTAACAAGACTAAGCTGCATAATATGCAGAGGTCACCAACTTCTTCCTGTCAGTTGCTGGAAACCTTTCAGACTTCATGTTGCCTTCAGATTAGTTTGAGGACAGTGTGTGGAGAAGCTTCATAAAATAGGTTTCCATGGCCGAGCAGCTGTGCCCAAGCCTTACATCATCGCCAAGTGCAGTGCAGAGCATTTGGCTGTAGCGCAGTGGAGACATCTTTTCTAGAGTGACAGATCTTTCCTCACTGTCTTGCGATCCAAAGGACTTGTCTGGGTTTGGCAGTTGGCAGGGAGCAACTTTTTTTTTTTTTTTTTTTTCTAGCTGCACTGTGTCAAGCATGAAGTTTGGAGCAGACGGGAGGAAGGTGAGGAGCTGGTTATTAGGAGTTTGGCCGTTCTCTTTTAGTTCCTGCGAAAAAGAGCTCTTAATATTTCAGTGTACCATGAAATATTTGGACAATTTTACACTCAGCTTTGCAGAAACCATTTGGGAATGTCCACTTCCTCTGTTAATATGACTTTGCACCAGTACATAAAACAAGGTCCTTAAAGATGACAATGACGACGATTGGATACTTCAAGACTTTAGGAAGAACCTGACTAGCCTGAACTTAACTCGACAGAACAATTTTGGGATGAGTTAGTATGGACCCCTGGAGTAATAATGTTCTCCTATTGTTATTCTGTGAAGTGCAAAACAAAGCCTGAATATTACTACTACATTCAGTGATTATTTCTAATTTTTGCTTAAGCCTGCAGCAAGCAGATAATATGTAAATGTTTCAGTTAATATTCTGCATTTAAGATATTTCAGTTTGAGTAGAAATAATTGTTCCATAACAATTAAATCAGAGATTTTGTTACAAACCTTTTGTGTAAAGTGTCATATTCCTCCCCAGGTTTTGCCCTGCTGTAAAAATGCCTAGATACATCATATAGTTTATATGAAGAGATGATGTAAGTTTTTACCTTTAGTTTTCCTTATTAATGCACATTCCAATTAAGACAGCACCTTGGGAATACATCAATATTTCAACTCTACATGCTCACTGAGAGTGTGTGTAAGTGAAACAGAGAGAGAGAGAAGTAAAAACAAGACTCTGTGTGTGTGTGTGCGTGTGTGTGTGTGTGTGTGTGTGTGTGTGTGTGTGTGTGTGTGGGATGATGTGCATTTGCGGCAAAAGTCAAAGTAAAGTAGAAATCAGCAGTATCAGTGGCTTTTTTTTTTCCTTCTTCCTGGTAATCCATTTTCTCCTCATACTTTTCTCCTCATTTTCCCTCATTTAGTCTATTAAACCATCCATTTCACTCACTGTCTCTCACTCATCTTCCTTTGTACTCTTTGACCCCCCCACCCACCCTTCCGTTGTCATAATGAGACAATGCCCAAAATTGCATCCGCCTCAGAAGAAGCACAATATTCTCCCGGTAATGCATATTTTACGAGTTTTTCTGCTGTCGTGTTGAGGTTCATGCTGCAACATGGCTCCATATGCGACTTGCATTGCTTCTGAACATGCGATCTGAAAAGCTGTGGTCGCGATGCTGCACATTACTCAGGATTTGGTCAAAGTTTGATGCAAAGCAGAATCGACTGAAAGGATTTTGAAATTGATTCACCCTTTTATTTATTTATTTATTTTTTATTCCATCAGTAGAACTACATTTACATCACTCCAAGTTGATATACACAAATAGGACCAAATCAAGGGATCTCTTCCATGTCTAATTTGCATAACACAATGAGACGTCAGTAAAGCCTGAACTCTTTAGATTCCCATCCTTATAGAGCTAATTAAAAAAAAAAGAGAGAGAGAGAGAAAATGCTTTTACCATGTGTAGCTTATTGCAAAAATAATCTCTCTGCTTCCTCAAAAAGGATGTTCAGGTCAGAGAGGTGATGCCTGACATCTACACCCTTCAAATTAAGCTTCTTCCTTTTTACGAGATGCCAGTCTTTAACAGCACCAAAGGTTTTCTGGATAATAACTGTCATGCTCGTCTCTTCGCAGCCTTTTAGCCTAATTGGCACGAGTGCAGATTATATTATGCCTGGTGACACCATAATGCGTGCATCTCTCCTACGTTTCCCTCCCTGGTGCGCTGGGCCTCGCCATTGATCTGCTTTGGTAAACACTGCAACCTGATCTGCAGCAGACATCGGCTCATTAACATGGTGATTTCATGATTTTTTTGGCAAAAAGCACTATAATTCCATTAGCAGCAAATTGCCATGAATGGGCCCATTTAGTGCGTTAGACCCATGCAAGACTTCCTGTTGGCGTCTGTTTCAGGTGGATTGATGGAGCGATTGTTTATTTGTCCTTTTGCATGGTCGCATCGTATCAGTTGCAGCACTCGCCGTGTGTCGTGCTCTGCAGTTCAGTTATTGTGGTCCTTTACAGCATAAACAGTGTCGCATAGCATCTTATGGACCAACCACACAACAGGCTCTGGCTGTCTGTTGCTGATGATTCAGAATGACATGTATATTGTTCTGACCTTAACTTTCCTCTTGCACGTGGTTCGAGCACGTGTCCATGCTGGTGATCCTGTTAAACTGTGTGACTCTGGGGATGTTTCAGCCCTGCGAGGATGTTACCTGCCTGTCAGAATGGTGCCGCATCCTACAGGTGAGCGTCATGCCCAGTCGGATGGGTTTGCATGAACATTCTGTTCTAAAGGCTTTTTTTTTTTTTTCCCCAACGGGAGCAGCATGTAACTTTTGCAAAAATGTGTTTGTGACTTATTTGTTAGAAGTGTCATCATGCTGTGACAGTATAATTTGAGACAGTCTGTGGAAAGATCGGGCTCCTTCACTGCCTCCCTGAGCTGCTGTTGTCTGAAGAAATGCACCGCTCCCAGTCAAAAAAGACGTTGTGGGGAGCCAGCTGTAGTGCAACAGGGAGAAAGAGAGAGGTTGTGAACGACACATGCACAGGGGTGATTGACAACCCTAAGAGCCTCCTCCTGGCCCTGATTGGCTGTTTCTGACGGAGCAGTGTATGTGCAGATAATAGAAGATCCGTAGGAAGAAAGCAGAGGAGCTTCATTTTTTTCACACATTATCTATTTCATGCTATACTGTCACAACATGTAAAAAAAAAAAAAAAAAACTATTTTTTTTTAAACTGTTCTTTTTGAAAAAATAGTCACCATGTACATTTACAGTCTTTGTTGTCAATTTTAACATCTGTATTTTGCAGAAGCACTTTATATTCCTAAAATATTTGCACATTTTATCATATTACTTTGACTGAGCCTGTAAGGACACTCAGTGGGTACCCGGAAATTCAACCACACACAGGAGTACTCGAAAGGAAAAAAAAACAAAAAACGAAAAAAAAAAAACAGGTTTAATTTTAATTTCAAATCCTGGTTGCTGCTCAGGACGAAGTAAGCAAACACAGCTCTGAGAAAAGAGGGGAGAAAGCTGGTGATGCACAGATAAAGGAGGGGTATGTTTGAAATGTTCAGCTTCACTGACCTGTAGAGCAGTGGACTGGTGGGGCAGAAGGACCAAGCATTAGACGGCAGGGAGGGGCAGGTAACCAGACTCAACAGGCTTCTGTGGGCTGCGAAAAAATCAAGGAAGATCTTCATAAAGAGGTCCGAAAAGCAACATCCTAGTGACTTAGACGATGACCAGGCTGAGGTCATACACAGGAGGGCAGAGATGACAAACCAAGCAGGAGGGGCAGGCAGTACTCTGTGGCCGTGAGGCAGAGCTTGGGTCAGGGTCCAGAAATCCAAGACAGATGGGATCCATGAAGGGCTTGGCAGATGGGGTAGACCCGTGGGCAGAAAGGGTCGTAAATACACCGAAGACTTGGAAGGAAATGCTGGATCTCTACTGGCTCGTGGCTGTCAGGAAGGAGGCCGAGGCTGAGAGGTGTTTAAGTAGGGCGGGACTCAGGTGAGACAGGCAAGCAGTCAGGCATGGCAGGTGGACTGGAATCAGAATGGACATGAAACAGAACATGAATCATGACAGAGCCGCTTTAGAGCGGGAATATGGTTTGATTTAAATCATTCTTATTGAAGTTATGGCTGTAAATTTAGGGTTCCTGTATTTTATTTAGCTCGATCTCTCCATCAACTCTGGCCAGCTTCCTTATACCTGACGAAGAAAAGCATTCCCGCAGCATGATGCCACCTCTTCCAAGTTTCTAGTTTGGATTGGTTTTATTTTGTTAGTTTGGCTCTTATTTCCGCCTGAGCTGTGAATCTGTGAAGCTTTTCTGATCCCATATTATTTCCATATTATTATCATTTATATTGGCTCTGTGAGAAGTTCAATCTAACTTTCATTGACTTCATACCAATCTGAAAACTCTTCTTGTCAGTCTATCACACGCAATCCCCAAAAATTAAATAAAATAGACTGTAGCTTGAGGTTCTAATCTGACAAAATGTGCAAACGCTCCTGTAAAGTGTAATATTTCGCAATACCAATGAAGCGTAATACGTACTACGTCTCATTGGTATTACTTATATTTCACAAATCTGACTTGGATGTAAATGAGTTAATTACCTTTTGACATTTTATTCCTGCATGCTTGTTTTAGTGAGGCGTCAACTCATGGCACATTGAGACAGACTCATTATACTGAAATACAGACATTCCTCCTGTCCTACGAGACGACTAATTAATTGAGTACCAACCATAACCAACCACGCTGAGTCAGAACAACTCCCTGCTGAAATTAAGCCAACTAATTTATTGAAGAGATCTGTGTTTGTCACAGAAACCCTGCTCTCAAAAGTCTACTGCTTATATAAAAGTATGCTTGCGCTGATGAGGAGATTCGACAAGGTCGTCTTGTTTGTGAGCGTTTTGGTCGAAGTCCGTGTTAAATCTTCTTTTCTGTGTGTATTCGTCTGTTTTTATTCGACCAGGTGTTGGACGATTGCATCTTCGCTTTCTTTGCGGTGGAGATGGTGATCAAGATGGTGGCCCTTGGAATTTTCGGCCCCAATTGTTACCTCGGCGACAAGTGGAACCAGCTCGACTTTGTTATCGTCATGGCAGGGTCGGTGTCCCGTCGACGTCGTTGCGCAATAACATTTTGCAACTCAATCAGGGTGATGCTCGTTGGAAGCCGAGATGTAAAATCTCTTTTTTAGATGAACATTTTCAAGCAGAAACGGAGAGCGATTTGACCCCCGTACCAGTCAGTTCAAAGGTCTTTGTATCCGAGCAACCATATGCACACTAATGACCGAATATCACTTTCAAATGACTATGAATTATTAAGAAGACATTTGAATGGGAGGAAATTAGGATGATGACTGGAGAATATAAATTGTCATGCTATCTCTTGGCAGGAAGCAGCTAGGCGCCTTTTCTAGGTCACAGTAACATTCTTTTTCTTTTATCCACGTTTTCCTATGTAGTCGGGTAAGAAAGCATGCAAGTACAAACGCACCGTCTTACAAATCAGCATGCATAGGGAGCATTACATTCTTCTCCTGAAGAGGAAAAGAATGTAATAAAATATATTACACATGTAGCTTCAGTGTTCAGGACCGATAGAGCAGACAAGTAGTGAGTGAACGCCGCTCCTCCAACCTTTTCTGCAGGGGAAGCCATAGCCTGCTAACTGCTTCTTCTAGATTCTCATAATTATTATGCTGACTGCAATGTACGGCAGATATAAAAAGTTGGAAACCCCTTTTTAAACTGTGAAATCTTTGTGAGACAAAGACAAATGGTTATCAAATGTTTTTATTATTTTTATTTTATTTCTTTTTACCTCTAGTGCACCGTATATTTCCTACAATTCAAGTCCAAAGCAAACAAATCTGTTTGGGTAAAACAGGGAATAACAGATATAATCTCTGAATAAGTGTGCACAGCCAGACATTAATACTTTGTTGCCCCATCCTTTGTTCCAGCTCTCAATCTTCTTGGGTGCACACACTAGTATAGAGAGATCTGAATAGCCATAAATAAAGTTCAGCGGTCCTACTGGGATTTTCTTGACATTTGCTCCTTTTCATCATGAGCTGAAGTCGTGGATTACAGCGAGGTTACAAAGGAGCCAAAGAATATCATTGTATCGGTGAGGAACAGGGTAGAGAGGAGTTTGTTTTTTTCCATAAGTGGTTGAAATCATGATCAGTTCTCAATACCAGTTTGCTTGCACTTAAAACCTTGAGATGTCTGGAAGAAGATGAAGAGGGATTTTATTTTTCCGCATTACCCCGAGTCAAATGATTCCACCAAACAAAAAAACAAAAAAAAGGATGACCAAAGCAAAATTATATTGTGTGTTTCGCTTTATGTTGTATATTCACTGCACTTTCCTTTTCAGGGTGTTGGAGTATTCTCTGGATGGCCACAACGCCAGTCTGTCAGCCATCCGTACTGTTCGGGTGCTCAGGCCACTGCGAGCGATCAACAGAGTACCAAGTAAGACCAAGAGATTTACCCAATTAAGTGTTGCCCTTTTAGCTCAATAATGACATATGTGCACAATAGGTGTGTCCAAATTCAATTGTATCACTTTATCTCTTCCACTGTAAACATATGTACAGTTGAAGAAGGTGTTATTGAATATTTGGACCTTAATAATTTGACTCTCAATAAGTGGGCAAAAACTTCCAAGTTCTTTTTTTTTTTTTTTTTTGAAAATCACAAGTGGCACAGATGCCAGCAACCCTAAAAATGAATGTGATTTCTAGTTTACACATAGAGGTTGATCTGAGTTTCTGAAGACTTTTTAATTGTAATCTGTGGCTTTCTGTCAAACTGGGGTATAAGTACGACACGACACAGAGGCCCATTTCTTTTAGCCACTGGCACTGAGCTGATTGAGAAGCCATATTTATCTTGCAGCAACGGACTGTGAGCAGGATTGTCAGGGAGATAAAACAATTCTCCACGGCTCACTTGCAGAGTGAGCCAGTGCCACAATAAAATGGCATTCTTAAGCATTTTTTATTTTATTTTATTTTATTTTATTTTTTACCAGAGGTGCCATTGTGGCTGAATAGTGCTGCGAGCACTTATCTAAAGAGATTGAGACTAAATGTATTGTTTTATAGTGTTTGTTTAAAAGGCAAAGACATTCATAGCAGAATAACACCCTGAGAGAAAGATGTGAGTAAAACTGAAACGGTAAGCCAAGTCGGAAGGAACAAAGACAAAATGAGAACTGAATGATACAGTCGAGGGAGATGGAAAAATGTGTACGTGTCCGCGTGTGTGTGTGTGTGTGGAGTGGGTGTTATGACAACAAAACAAGAAGATGAATCAGAAAATAAAACGAAGGAAACACTGAGTGATGAAGACACAAATGAAGACAGACAGACTTTTGCAAAGCCTTTAAGATCAGTGCAGTTCTTTCTTTGAGCATTTGTTTTTCATACATAAGTTTGTTACTGTTGTCACTCCAATATCTCCCCAATAAAGTGTTATTATTACATTTTGGTGAATTTCTTCACCAAGTGTAGAGGAATTCAGTTTTTACACTGACCACCCATTCTTCCACATAATATGTTGTGCCTCGCCTAAACTTTAAAAACACCTTTTTTTTTTCTTTTCTTTTTTTTTTTTTACTTCGGTTACAGCTCAATACATCTACCCCTGCTGCAGCAGTCTCCTTTTCCCTGGAATTTAATTCAAGTTACCGCTACGCTGTATGTCAGATGCATTTCTGTTGGCCTACAATTCTGTAGTTTGTTTGCCCTGAGCAGTGCAGGACTGTATTTTTGGTTTGCTTGTTCACACCACTTTGTGGTAAGTTGATGTATGGCCCCGAAGAGTTTGGTGTTTGCTTTCAGCTCAGTGGAAGTCGCACATTATTTGTCACGTTCCTAAAAGCTCCTGACAGAAGGGGCCATGAATCTATAGCTAAAGAGATTTTCTAGACAATAGTGTCATAACAACTTACAGCATTACTAAGCTGCATGCATTAGCATGTGGCCAAGCTTCGGCCTGGAAGTAAGTAAGGACATATTGTACAATATTTCAGGACAATCGATGTGATCAACAAAAACAACAGAGCTGCATGTGCTGAAAAGCTTCTTTTAATGGCTTTATGAAAATATACATTAATGACTTGATTGATTCTTAGTCAGCCACCATTCTTAGCAACAGTACTGAAAAATAATGACCACAGTCAACATTATCTATCCAAATGGCTTCCATGTGGCAAAAGCCTTTAACAATCTCACGATTTTTAAAATAATAATCTCCTAATGGTTGTGAATCACAGCCTTTTCACCTTCTTGTAACCACTAGCTGTGCTTAATTATACATACACAGATTTGGTTTCAGATGTTATTTTAAAATCTCTGAGCTTCCCTGTAACAGAAGGCAAAACTAAACGACAAACGCTTCAGCGAGTTTCTCAAAGCAGCATGAAATTAAACTGAAATGAAATAAAGAGGTGGGATATCCATTTGGGATGACAGTGGCAGGTGTTAGTTACAATGGTCTTAAAAACAAGGTCAGAGGAAGCAAATGGACGTACATCAAGCCTGAAACTCACAGGCACACACGTTCACAGACACCTGGAGGTCATCTGAAATCATTTTACGTCACTGCGTATTATTTTTTCACCTAGCATATAATCGCGTTCCCGGGCAGCAGTACTCATACAAAGACTAATGCCCCTCTCTCCTACTGTTTCCCCCATTATTCTCTATCTCTGTTTGTCTTGCCGTCTTCTTGTCAGTGAGTTGTTACGCAGATGTTAACTGTGTTTTTGTTCCGTAGCTTAGATACTGTGAGCAACCGTCTGTTTATTTCACATTATCAGGGCTGCTGCTTGCAGGGGGCTTTGCAAATTATCTGCCAACTGTAGATAATTTGCAGTTGTGTTTGTACACTGTGTGTGTACGCGTGCGCTCATTCTCGCACACTGATTGCTTGAATAAGTCATCAGAATCCTTGAGTGTTGTGTGCAACACCTAGATTTCTCCTGCCGGATCTAATAGCGAGTTATTTGGGCGCCCATCTTGTTTTGACTGCAGGACCGAGTTTAAAATAAGCAGTGCACTTTTGCTGCTTCCTGCAGTGTGACTTGGCTTTTTCCAAGAGAAGCAAAATGAGAAACTCCAAGACTAATGAGATCACAAGCTGAGAGCACAGATAACAATGTCATAAAGGAAGAGCATTTAAAAACTTGTGGCCCATAACTAGAGTCCATAAACGTGATGGAAAAGGGTAATTTGTGTCAACTCGGACTCTTCAGTGTTTCCCCACTTTTGGTCTTGATTCAAAATTTTATTAGATGCAGTGATAGGTTTTAATTTGTAACTCTAATGCCATTTATGGGCACAAAACAGTAAAGCTACATTTCTTTGATTCCCCACTGGTTTTCTAATAGTCATTCTTTTATGACTGCTTGGCTTGTAGTTCAGCTCGAAAGTAGATTAGCGTCAATCTGTACTAATTAATAACATGCTTAAAATGTAAAATGAAAATTTAAAAAAAGAACATATTTTCTTGATTCATTTGCAAGCACTGGACATTGTTGTTTTTTTGTTTGTTTGTTTTTTTTAATTTTTTTTATTAAAATGTTCTTGTTCTCATCTTGTCAGCTGACATATCTGCCCTTTTCCCACTGTAAAAATGTCCTTCATTGCGAGGCGGGGAATGGTACGTCTATTCATACCAAAGTAGCATGTTTTAGTTCTGTCAATGCAGTCAGAGGAAGAATATGCTAATCAAAAAGCCCACCTCTCTTTTTCACAAAATGACATATCCATGTCATTTTGCTGATTTTTTAAATTTTTTTCTTGTTAAACACCAAAACAGAGAATTAACAGATGAAGAGGGGATATTATTGCAAAAAATATATATAAATAAATAAATGCTTTCTAAATGCAACACTTTAGAGCTTAAAGCCACAAATGTTAACATCTCTATGGAACATCTGAAACTTAGCATTGCAGATTCGAAATCCAAATCCTCGTAAATAAGAAACAAATGAGATGACTGCAAAATGTTCAGAATAGTTTCCAGACTATATATATACATATATATAAAATTAAAACTTCTTAATCTACTGCACTTGTAAAACATAATTATAGCTTCTAGTCGGGTCTTTTAGTCAACCTTGCATCAACCATGCATCGATGTGTGTCGCAGTAACACAAAGCCCCACAGGGTGCACTTTTCTCTCCCAGAGTCATGACCAGAGCAAATGACCAGAGCGTATTTGCCGTTTGCACAACTGCTTCTGACACAGGAAAACGCTCACAACTCCAGTCAGCTGCAGCAGGAGCAGCCAGGAAGGCAGGCAGGCGTCGCTGGACTCGGTGAGGTGACGTCTCACCAAAACAGAGCCTTCCTGAACTGCTCAGTGTGCAAACTTAGATGTTGAGTTACATAAATAAATAAATAAATAAATAAAGGTCAGTGTTACCCAGTTTTTCTTGCCCGGCTCCTGTTATGCAGATGAGCAGCTTATAGCTAATTCTAAGCCATTGTAAATGGATTGTTGAAAAATCGCCAATAATTTTGTCGTTGGCTTTGAAAAATGCTTCCAATGTGCACTGATAAGATTTCTTTATATTTGGGGAAGATCACAGATTGTGGAATATGAGAGGAAGAGAAAAATGGTGTGCAGTAATACCACATGGGGAGTAAGACCAAGGTTTTTGTGTTGCCTTGGGATCAGAGTGGCATTATTATAGGACATCACTGTGAGGCCGAGTCCTCAGATTACATTAAAGACCTGCAGCATGATTAAATCTTTTTGTAATATAGACTAAAACCCCCCCAGTCAGTGACAAGCTTACTCATTTTAGCTGATTGTATGTCCTAATATCTTCCCAGTTTAAACAAAGTTATGTTAAGTTTTTTCTCTTCTGATTGCAATCTTCGTGTCATAACCCCGTCGTTATTTATTAGAATTGTTTTTGAAGCTCTGGGACTGCTCTGCTCCTTTATAGTGACCGGATAAGCTTGGAGAAAATTAAAATTATAGTGTTGTGTTACTATGTAGAAAGTACTGTGTGTCCTAGACTAAATCTTGGCATCGGGTGTGTGTGCGTAAAGAAACAGACACTGATGAGTCATTTCCTCTGGGGCAGTCGGTGTGGTTTTTGGAGCGTCCTTCCAGACTTGGAAGCAGAATCTGTTTCGATCGTTGAAATGTACTGATTGACTAGTTTATCCTTGGAAAATGGAAAATAATTCACCGTTGTTCTTTTCAGCGTTTTCAGCCACAATCTACCCTGCAGTTACATGCAGATGTGTGGAAGCAGATTTGAATTTAAGTAAACTTAAGGGAAGTAAACGTTGTAATTAAACTAATTGAAATGTTTGCTATGCTTATGTCACGTCACTTATGCAAAATTCATTACATTTTGTGGAAAATGTCCACGTTTCTAAAAGATTAAATTATATTTAGCTTCTGATGCCAATTAAAGTGATGAATATGTCAGTTATTGAAAAGAGCCAAAACATTATCTGTTGTTGTCAAGAGTTAGAGAAGTCTTATTTTGAAGAGAGGTTGGGCAGCCAGGATGACGACTTAACAGAGCATTGACTATTTAAACAAAATATTCATTATCTCAGACCAAACTAAACATTTGCTACCAGTTTCATTTTTTTTTTTTTTTTTGTTTTGGTTTGGGTTTTTTTTGCCAAGATTTGGTCAAAATATCCCGGTATTAAAACAGTCAGCTTCAAGTTCTTCAGCTAAACGTCACTCAAACAAATGATTCCTCAGATGAGACGACACACACTGTGAGTTTGATGAGACCAAGACCAGCTAAATGTTAACAAAATGTTAGCAGTCTTACTGCAGAACTCTTCACAAAGTCACTTGGTTGGACATGATGGACACTCGTTGCGTGTAGCTAATGCTAGCGACACAGAAGCTGTTGCTTCCCATAGGATGAAATAATATTCATGGTTTTTATTACCTATCAAAAGTGTTTGAAGGTGTTGAGTATCCAAAGGACTAGGAAAGACTTGCAGTTTCTGCATTTAAATATGTGCATGTGAGATATTAATTTCTCGTTGCGTCCACGCTGTTTGTGTCCCACTGTGTAGGTATGAGGATCCTGGTGACGCTGCTTCTGGACACCTTACCCATGCTGGGGAATGTGCTCCTTCTCTGCTTCTTTGTCTTTTTTATCTTCGGCATTGTGGGAGTCCAGCTGTGGGCCGGACTGCTACGTAACCGCTGCTTCCTGGAAAAAAACATAACAGACATAATAAAGTAAGCAATTTCTTCTTTTTTTTTAACCTTTAGTAAATACCTTCTTTTTCTCCCCTTCAGACTTTTAGACCAGCTGTAACGCGAATGCTTGCAGGGAAAAGTTCCATGTTTTTTTCTTTTTTTTCTTTTTTTCCCAGAGAGCATTTTGGTTTTTCTTGCCTTCGGACATAAGGTTGCCTGTTGATATCGTATGCTCTGTTTTTTAATTTTTTTATTTTTTATTTCTTTGTTGTTTTTTTCATAACATTGGTATGAAAAAAATAACTCCTTACAGTCCATGTGAAAGAGCATTTCAGATGAGATTCCTCATAACGATCCTTTTTAAGTTAGTGCTGCTTCTTCAACTTTTTCTACATTTTGTCACATTAACAAAATACAAACTTGAGTGTATTTTTTTGGTTGATATACTAAAACAAAGTACTCCATAATTCTGAAAGATGAGCAATAAATAAATTAGTTTCAAATATTTTTTTACAAATAAAATGCTGGGAAATGTATACTTCACTTTTAAGGTCGTGGACAAGGTTGTGGAAATACTTAAAACAGGGTTATAAATCAGTATAAATTCAGTTGTAATACAAAGGAAATACTTTTTAGATATTGGGGTAAAATTACTGTAGAAATAAAAAACACATTTTCTTTCCATTTAACAGTTATTTCCTACTTTGTGTTGGTTTAGCACCTAAAATCCCCCCAAATTACATTGAAGTTTGTAACCTGACAAAAATTGTAAGGAATTGTTTTCGAGCACCTGAAATTATTATAAACATGCATGAGAATAAGTAAGACTAGTTATAAAATAATAATAATAATATTTTAATTCTAACTGTTGTGATATTTAACACTGAACATGCTGGAAGAACAGAGAGACGCCCATTTCCTCTCTGCGATCTTATCTTGGATGTGGCATCATTAGACGCAGCAGCCACGTTTTCCCCTCCTCAGTCCAGGGCCGCATGTAGACAAACAGGAATGCACGCATTAGGCAGATAGAGAAGCTCAGCCGCTCATTTAGCCATGGGGAGTAAAACTGAATCTAAGAGCAAAAAGTAAAAAAGAAAAAAAAAAAAAAAAAGCCTTTGTGTCAACAAACTCTGGAAGCAGACAATGTCACTTTGGGATAGTTTGACTAATTTTGCTCTTGATGTAATTGTACAAATTGTTCCAGAGTAAATGTGGCTTGTTCACTGTGTGAGGGAACAAAACACATCAGCTTGGTTCTCAGAAGACTAAGCACACAAACCTATTTCTGCCAAATTTTGAAATCACCTGCACATACTCTTTTCTTAGAATTTTTGAGACTTTTGTTTTTTGTATAACAAGGATTTTGTTTTTAATCCCTGTTGTAAGACGGAACATAAGAGCAGTAAGAATTTCATTAAAAGGAAGGCGAAAATCCACTGAATCGTTAAAATTAAGCAACGAGACGGATGTCAGCAGAGCTTTTTGCGCATCTCTAATTGAAAGTAGCTCAATGCGGTGGAACCGAGTCACTCACTTCGTACCTGCTAATTCGCTCCGATCTCCAAATAACTTCTCCAACAACAAGTGCTATTAAATAGGGGAGTGGGTGGAATGAAGAGTGGGACGCTTCATTGCTTATTGAAGCAAATAAACTGTATGGGCATCTTGAGCACGTTAAAAAGACATTATGTTCATTTAATAAGCAATAAAGCAGATGTCTGCTCCTCACTCCTGATTCAGAGAGTGTCTCATGCGAATGCAGGGAGACGGAGAGAAGAGACGGACGGTGTGCAACGTTAAAGTTTGACTCTAGTATTAGCTCAAGACATCTTCAAAATCTCAGGTTGATACAGTAAATTTCCTCACTTTACCTTTATTAACTCGAAACTACGTTGAAATCACTTTCGGCAAAATTGTCCTCTATGTCAGACAAACATCATCACTTTGTTGAAACTGCAAAAAGAAAACAGCAGAGCTACGGATGGACATACTGATTGCTGCATGTCAAACAAATTTAACGACAGCGATACAGTATGATGAAATTAGATGTAAGACAAGAAGCAATCTTTTTTTTTTGTGGTCTGTAATCATCTCAAAATCGCAAGAAAAATGGCTTTTTTTCCTCCCTTTTAGATTTCATGCTATCTGGAAACAAACAAAAAGGGGGATTTCTCCTGATCATGAGGTGAAGCTAGTTTGAATTTCTCAAGATAACAGGAGCTAAACAAAATTCATACCATAATGAATATCTGCAAGCACTAAGCTTATTTCATCCATTGACCATATCAATGTTTTTCCGTTTTGGGTTTTTCATAATAAAACTTTTAGCAACAAACTAAGAGCCAATCTGGAATTAGTTGATGATTTAATGTAATTTTCTACAGCTATTGTATAGATTTCATACAGGTTAACTTAACCTGGAACACAAATAATGGAAGTCAATCAAATATTGCACATTTATGTAGTCGTAAGGTTTGTACAGGGGACGTGAGCATTTTTGGGGGGATTTATCAAAATCTCCAAAAACAAATGAACATATAGTTAAATACACGGATACAAAATCATTTTTTATACAGGGCTTGGATTTGTAGAAATTTACCAATCCAATAACAGGCTGTTTTTTTTTCCCCTGTTCATGTTATGTTTAACTGATCTGAGTCAATAGCGCGTTGAAATGTCCTGTTCAGTTATTGATTTTAGTGCAGGGTTGGTTTGCTCCTTCTTTTCTCATCGTGACAACCCAAACTGCTGGAGGCCGGGTTCACTTTGAGACGAGAGGCCTGTGAAGTTTCCTTGCAAAGCCTTTTTTCTTCAGTTGCATTTTCTGCTCATCCACTGGAACAGCCTCTTCAGTTTCATTTTGCCTTTAAATAGGACATTTCTTGTGATCACTATGTGAGTCACCTAAAATAACTATTGTTGAAGTTTATTTTTTTTTAATCGTCAGTTAACTTTCCAAAGTTTTCAGTGCTGTTCAGATGAAATTGTTTGAACTATACAGCGTCGCATTTAGCTAGCTTGCGTCATAATATTTATGTCTTCATGCTTAATATTGCTGTCTGTCTTCTACAACATTTTTTAAGACAGGTTAATGTCAAATCTACACTCTGGAACTCTAGACTGTTTTAAAACAAGATTTTTAATAAAGCTAAAGTTGAGCCATATTTTTAGATGTACTTAAGCCTCAACCCTTATGTCTGATACCTTGGATAGCAGACATCTACTGAAACTGACGACAGCAAAAAAAGAAAAACAGCATGTCATTATGATATTACCAATAAATTCAGTTTTTTTTGTCAAAATCTTTTATCTGCGTTTTAAAGTTTTATAATCACTTTTTTTGTTTTGTTTGGTTTTGTTTTGTTTTGTTTTGTTTTGTTTTGTCTGTGCCAAACCAGACTTTACAACCAGTCCATGCATCCTTACTACATGTCTGAGGAAGGTGAAGACAGCCCGTTCATCTGCTCGGCTCCCCGAGAGAACGGGATGCTGCGCTGCCATGACGTGCCGCCCTTCACCCAGGGAGGAGAGGATTGCTCGCTTCCTCCTCCCCACCAAAGCTCTGCTCTGATTGGTTCGCTACCTGGAGTGGGCGGGTCAAGCAATAGCAGCTGTGTTAACTGGAACCAGTATTACAACGTCTGCCGACCCGGGGACCTCAACCCCCACAAGGGAGCAGTTAACTTTGACAACATCGGCTACGCTTGGATAGCCATATTCCAGGTGAGATGAAGCACTAACTTAGTTTTCATAAACGTATTGCTGCTCCAGATATCCTGCCGGATTGTGGATGGAAAATGTATATTTTCCCCTCTCAGGCTTACACTCTCTGTACTGCCGAGATTCGTATTTCATCCGTTCTTGTGAATTCACCCGAGTCACAGTGATGGATGTGGCTTTGCTTCTAATGTGCTTTGACTTGCAGTTTACTTTCTCAAAGAGTGTTATCTTCAAATGACTCCAAACACAAGTTCTCAACGCTCCCATGCCCAGACCTATTCATCCATCTCAAAACTTCCCTCTGTGTTTTCAGCTCATGAAGCCATTTAAAAAAAAAAAAATTTCTATGTGGCATGCTTTAGCAAACACAATATTTGAGTCTTAGGTGAGATTATTTTATTTTGCTAAGCATTTGATTGTGTCTACTTCTGAATTCACCTGTTTGCTTGCACTGTTTATATGGTTGCAATTCTTTTCTCTCTTTTTTTCAAAGCATTAAAGGCATTCCATGTGAAATTTGGTGCAGGATGAGAAAAAAGGCAAAGACAGAGAAACTTTCTATAGTATATATCAGCTAAATCAGTATTTAAGCTAATTGTAAATGAAAATGATAAGAAAGACAGGTCACAAAAATTGCAGAAGGTAAGGTAATTTTATTTATAAAGCACATGTTCAGCAACAAGGCAATTCAAAGTATTGAGGACTTTAAATATTCTAACTTGAACAGAACACAGTACAGCAGTGAAAGAAAAAACTGAATAATGCAAAAAGTGATTTAAATGAAATTATAAACCACAAATGGAGTGAACTAGTCATGAAGATGTAGGGATACAATATGAGTGGATACCAGGGAGGATAAAATACATTTTGTGAAAAAAAAAAAGGTGAAACAGAAACTGAGCCACACAAGATAAAAAAATAACCTTTGTCATTGTAGACATTATTGAAACAAAATCTGTTTTTACTTGTACACCTAACTGACTGGAGTGGTTTCCGAGTCATGTTGTGACTTCTTTCTCCTCCCTTCTCATCATCATCATCATTACGTTCACACTCCTCTTACTATGAAGAGTAAAAAGGAGCATAACAATAAATGTGTATTTCATCAACAGCCTGAAAACCTGTAGCTCCCCTCAGTCTCCTAGCAACTACGCTACGCACAACATGGAGCTGTTTGCGCTTCACAGTAACGACAAGCAGCCCCTTTGAGTTGCAGACTCTGTCATATTAGGGAATGAATTGAGTTCTCTGTGTCTCACATAATATCTCTACAAGTTCCTGGATGAGATCATCCATGTTTTGACTGAAAAAATGTCTTTTATTATACTGATGATTATTTAGCTTGTTACATAAATTCTTTCAATGGCCTGTTGTGTAGATCTGCAGCCTGCCTTGTATTAACGTCCTTTGTCTTGCTTTTCCACACTCAGTCACTTAAATTGCGATGTACAACTCATCTTTTGATCTTAACACCAAAGAGAATTATTGGACTTTGTTGAATTCGAAGCTACACAGTAACAGAGCAGGTGAAGGCCTTGTGGTTGCAGTAAGCCATCCTGTCTTGCCTTTTCTATATGTCTGAGATTCAGCGTATATTCTGAACTTATCTGAGGTATTTCACGCTTTCCCAAAAGTCACTTCAAAGACTAAAACACTGCCTGCGTCCGTGGGAACTCATAGCCGTTTTCATGAGAGTAAATGACTCCTTTTGGATAACACTCGTAAAATATAACATGAAATGTTTCAAAATATCAAGATTCCCTGTAACCAAGTGAACAATGTCGGTAAACCCAGACTGAAAATCTGTAAAGGGGATATTTTAAAGTAAAAGGATAGTAGCATGAAAACTGATTAACTGATAACAACGTTTCAGTTCTTTGAATTATAGTTTGGAGTCACTTTTATTAATAGCGCAAGAAAAAGACAGAACTGAGAGTCAAATTAAAGAAAACTACTGGAAAATGAAATTGATGAATGATGAGAGCCTAGCCAAGGTAGATAAAGAAAAACTAGATGAGCAGGAGTGTTTTAGACATAATCACTGTGTGGGCTGACTGATGAATTACTGTTAATAACTCAACTGTTGGTTGAGTTATTAAGCAGAGAAACCGTCTGAAGTTTTCCTGGATGGCATAAAATATAAATTGTTCAAGCCATGCCATATAAATTCACAAGTTCACTGTTGACAAAAGCTAGTTCACAGAGGCCAAAGCTAAAGCAATTCATGTAGAGTTTCCCCCCAAAACATTTAGTACCAAATCCAGTTCAAAATGTTTTGGTTTTTTTTGTACATTTCTCTTTTTTTATGAAAGAAAGATTAAAACAGCTATAACTCATGACATCCGTCGCCAATTTCTACGCTCATCTCTATGCTTTATTTCAACCGGACCGTCGCTCTGACTGCATGTTCAGGGTCGCTGTCCTGCATTAGGATTCACCTCTGCCTCGCTCTAAAACCTTCTGCAGCTTCTAACAGGGTTTCCTCCAACACTCCGGCGCAATCGGCTCCATCCAGCTGCCCGTCAAGTCAACCATCTGTCCGGTCTCTGTTAAAGAAACACATTCCCACAGCACCGACGTTTTTCTCCCCCACTGTGTCTTTCAGGGTGATTTGTGCTTTTGTTTTTTCCAGCCACATTTCAGTGTTTGCATCGAAGCAAAACGGTTTTCGCAGCCCTTCCAGGGTTACCGCTGGCCTCTTGGCTGCTTTTTTGAGTACTAGTCTCCTTGGTTGGCTGTTAGTTTAGGCACTTAATGCTTCGGATGTTGGAAAATGACTCAGAAAAACCTCTTAATGACTCAACAGCTGTCAAATAAAAACGTATTTGTTTAATTTGTAAAGGTACTATACTATAAGCACTGCTGTTTACAGGTCAAATTTTCCAGCTCAGTGACTTGTCTGGATGTTTTTTTTTTGAATCCCAGCAATGTTTAATACTCAGCAATATACAGAATGTCCACATTTATTTCTATGTGTTTCTGTAAGAAAAAACAAACTATTAAATTCTAAGTTGCAGGTGTGTATTACTAAAATATTTGCATTTTTTTCTTCTATTTAAAAAAAGAAATGTTTGCTGCCTCTACTGTTGTTTGCATAAAACTGGCGTTTTCTAGATCTCCTACGGTACTGGTGCAAAATCTCTTATTCATGCACATCTTTCCAAATACCTGCTTTTTGACATGTGTTTTTGTGTTACACTTGTACGCTGCGCTCATGCCATTGTTGTGCACGTTCTTGCCGTGCTCGGTGTAAGGTTTCATCCCGGCCTATGGTGCTGATGTGGAGGTGCGAGCGTGTTTTCAGCTCAGCGGAGCTGACTCACTGTTTTCAAGTATCAACATCTCAGCTCCTCATTAGCATACAAGCTTCCAGTCTCCTGGCACAAAACACGCACACACTTGAAAGAGTTTGGGGGGACTTTTGAGCTTGTTTAGGTTTTGTGTTTGTAGGGAATGTTTTTTTTTTTTTTTTTTTTTCCCCTGTTTTGTGGGTTTTTATTTTTCTCTTAAAATTTTTTTCTCTTTTTTTTTT